CTCTCGGCAAGTTAATGGAGCAATGCAGTCGCCTCAATGCAAATGTTATTCTTGATAAATTGGAGGTGAGCTTGACAACCTCGCATTGAGCATTTGACAAACATGTAAAATCCATTTCTCCAAACACAAGCAATGCATTTGAAACGAATCAGTTGAAACATGCTCCCCTAACGGTAGTCCAAGATTAGAAGCACGACTGGTTTTAAACCTAGATTGAGCTAACCAAATTTGATTCGAATGGTTTAAACAACACATCAACATCACTTAGTACCAGCTTTTCTTTCTTTTTTCATGTTTATGCGAGACTCTCATGTTTCCTGATACCAAATCGCATTTCATAGCATGCATTAAACTCTGTAAAGAAAAGAACTCATTTCCATGCAACATAATTAGCAAAAATAGTTTGTTTTTTTTAACTATGGATATCTATGTTTATGGTGCAAAGCTAGCGAGTTACGGACTTCTAAAGCTCCACAGCATTTGAGGGAAGAAAATTTACAAATTCTCCTATTCGTAATGCCACTAATTCTCATCAAAATGGAAATAGTTAGAAACATATATGGTTGTTGTGGATATTTCCCACGGCAGATCGACTGGCTGTTTTCTGACTGACAATAAGCTTATCATCAGCGCCCAATTTGGTGCTTCCGAAACGGAATGATGTATTACTGTTCTTGATTTAGACCAAGTTCTCTTTGCTTCTTCAACATTTTCCCAAAAAATGGTTCCTTTTACAGTCTCTTCATTTTAGTTCTTTTCTATTTAAATCATGCTTCTACAAACAAAGCAATTTTTAGTAAGTTTTGCAAATTTCAATGTCAGTTTTGAATGATATCTTCATATGAGGTGAAGAGCTCTAACTCAGACCCGTAATTCTAGGCTTTTGGATAATATTCTGTAGTTGATACCTCACATGTTTCCCCTATATTTCATTGAAATGGAATAGCTGGAAACTTTATAAAACATTATAGACGAAGCCAACTTCTGACAAGTCACCTACCACTGCAGAAACCGCTTATCCTCAATATCAGCACTATTGGCCAGGAGCGACATGGTGAGCTTGCTGGAGTCTTTGCTTACTGGAACTTGCTTCCAATACACCCAATGTGAAATTGCCTTAGGTGGGATCAGGCGAGCACATGGCCGCTACCGTACACCTCAGTGGATGCGTACTCGCCGTATTTGTCTTCACAATTGGGCCTTTTATCATCGGTTCCCGCTTCAACGTCTTCCTTAAATCAACGACTAACTCTGGGAAAGCCAGCGATAACGTCTTCTGGAGGTGGAAAGTTCCCTCGAGGAAATTGTGAATGTCCGAATTGTGCTGAGGCTGAGCGGATAGGTATGTTTTCCATAGATCCATAGATTTGTGTAGATATTTTCAAAACATGACGGTAGCCATCTCTGCTAGATAAACGTTATGCCATTTTGGAAGATTAACTAAACGGCACACGCAGGCGCAAGCGATCATATCTACTCACACCGTTACATAACCTTAGCGCCTCTCCACTGGCTGTATCTTATGTGATGAGGATTTCCAAGGTCTCATTACGCAAACAGGCGATATTTAGAGCGATTTCATGAGC